GTTCGGGGGCCGGTGTCATGTTTGTCAGTTTGGGAAGGGAAGTTCACAAAACACAGGTTTATACACACCTTACCAGTCGCAGAAGCTTCCTGGGTTCATATTAGCATGGATTTTGTGTTGGAATCTTCCAAAGACGGCAAGGGGCGGTGATAGTATTTTTGTTGTGGTGGACCGTTTCTCCAAATTGGCGCATTTTATTCCGTGTTCTAGAATTGCAGATGCCACACATGTAGCTGAGTTATCTTTCAAAGAAGTGGTGAGACTATATGGCGTGTCAACTTCTATTGTTTCTGATACAGACGTCAAGTTCACCAGACACTTTTGGAGGATTGTATGGAGGAAGTTTGGGACTGAATTTAAAAATTAGTGCTCCTATTTCCTATTAGCCACTGCCCAGCAGCCCAAGCTGCTCAATTCATAATAAAACCTAAATGATAAATGTCCCAGTCTAGAGAACAAGCCTACAAACAAATTAGAACTACAAGATTGTAGAAGACCTAGGGCTGTTTGGTATGATGTGGTATTATTTTTGGTGTTTTCATCTTTTTTTTTTTTTTTTTTTTTTTTTTTTTTTTTTTTTAACCCAGTAAATTCTCTACTTAAGTTTTTTCTTTAGCTCTCTTATTTTCAAATTCTGGCTCCGCCCCTGCTTAATTTGCAAAGATTAAATAATAATAATAATAAAATTAACCACGACACTCTTGCCTCTCATCTCTCTGTGCATCAAACGACCTAATTATCCAAGTATTTGAAATATTCAACCTAAATTAGGTGTGTGTATATATATATATATATATATATATATATATATATATATTATTAAGATCCTATTCAAATTTGGATTCGGATTTGAATCTTGAATATCACATAAATCTATTCCATATTCAATCAAAAGCCCAAATCTTTGTATGTGGGTCAGAAGGCCCATGATTCCGTCCATGGGCCTGCTGATCCACCTAATTTTAAAAAACCCAGTCATCAGAAAAACAAGTCCTGGTTCTATTTTCAGCCTGTTAGACTGGACTGGTCCTAATCCATTTTTAGGTTGGGCCTCATACGAGCCTGTGGGAGTTGGTCACAAGTCTTTAATCCATCAGATTAAAGCCGAAGGAAACATGACTAGACTGTTGGGCTGGGTGGGCTAATCCGATCCAATTCGAGCCTAATTGGATTTAAAGACTCTTTCGTTCCTGAGTTGCGGGCATGAATTCAGGTTAGCACGTTCAACTCCATTCAAGCCTAATTCATCTTCTTATCATGTTTTAATATTTTCTTCTCTCGAGTTGTGTTTGGTTTAATAATTTTCAACTGGGGGCTTCAGTTGGAAGTTGGAACTAAGTCTGAATTAGTCTCCAACACAGGTGTTGAGTAATGAGTTGATATTCTCTATGTATGCGTATGTGATCGGTATATTATATCGGACGAATCTAAACTCACACATTGTAATATCTTTAAAGTAGTTAGGTGAAATTATAATCAAAGCAAATTATGAGTTTGCACTCAGCTGCTCCTCGTACTAACAATGAAATTGATTTATAACAACAACCTGACCTGCGGACCTCATTCATATGATCAAAACAAAATTAACAAATATGATATCCTTGGTATCTTTGTACAGAGACCCTTAGATTATGATCGGAGAGGAACATCCAACGGTGCAGATTTAAGGAGTATTTACACCTGAGACAAACATCAATATGGTCTCCCCCAACAAATGAAAGCTGCTTACCAACCAATAAGCAAAGAGTGGGACCACCCAAAAGATATCCCAGTCGAGAGGTCCACTAACGTGAGATTTTTTTGCCCAACTTAAGCAATGAAATGCTAATCATACACGCATTCAAGGCATTTGCGTTTTGAATGACAAAAGGAAAGAGTTAAACTTTGAGTTTAGTTTTTCTTTTGTTTATTTATTTTTTTAAAAAACTTTTGTCTCGGACCACGATGGCATTTCTGCATAATTAATGATGTAATAAGATTTTCATTTTTATTAAGTTTTGATTACATTGGCTGAAAACTGATGGAGAAATTAAGTTTTAAAAATTTGTAGAATTAGTAACTTTTATTTACGATGGAGACAATTTACCAAATTCAATAAGAAAGTTGATAAAATAAATTCAATAAGATTTAGGGTAACAAAAATATCTTTGAGACTAAGGAATTTCGATATCAAGTAATCATTTATAATTTTGAAGAAGAAGATTTATTATGCGACTAAATAGGATCAACTTTCTTGTAAGATCTAATCACAACATGTGCATTCATACAAAATTCACATGAATGCTTTTCATTGCAATTAATTCGTCGTAAGATCCAATAATTGTGGTTAAGTCAACCTAAATATTCTTAGCTCAATCCCTCCCAAATTTGTATGCAAGAAAAATGTGCCCGTTCTTGTCTCCACTTGGGGAATTTGGCTTGCCTTGCTAGTCTCCTAATAGGAAGAGTTTTGTTTATGTCATAATTAGGTTGAGAACAAGTTTTGAAACAAAAGTGTGAGTTTTGATATATTAGGTTAGAAAGCATGCTCTTGCCTTGCTTAGTTTAAAAAGTATACACGAATAAACATTTTCTTATTTTCTGTTTTTGTTTTTTTCATTATTTACTAAAATATTTTGGTTTCATAGGTATAAAGTAACAAAATTTATGATTAACTCTTTTTTGGTTTGGTTGGAGTGATAAAAAAATAAATGGAAAGGAGATGGGAAAGGAATGGAAGACATCCCTAAAGAAAAGAAGGGAAGGTGTGTCCGGGTCTCACTTTTTGTTTGGTTGAATGAAAGATAAGGTGACACATTTTTTGTTTTTTTAAATTGGAAGGAGGAAAGTGAGTTTTAATATCGGTTTTATCGATATAACCTTATTATATAAAATTATAAAATTTTTTATATTCATTTCAAAATTGTGGGAAGGTTAAAAATACATATTTGTGATAATTGTCCATTCTATTTCACTCCTCTTCCCTCTAATTTTGGAGGGATAGAAAAAAACAAAGCAATGATAATACTTCATCCCTCCTTTTTTATTCTCTAATTAAATATGAAAAAGTTTTTTTTATTCATCTCTCCGACTCAATGTAATAAAAAAAGTATAAAATATTTACCACTCACTCAAAATATTACCAAGTGACAAAACCTTATCTGTGCTATCTATTTTATGAGAAGGATACTCGTAGCCTTGTCATCCATCGAAATAGTCGCTTTTGATTGTGTATTACATTGCATAGTTGATATTTACAAAGTTGCGACCAAGCGATGCACATGAAAATTTCGATCGCGACAAACATAACTTAGTCGAGATCGAAGCAAACAATAGCTGTGGTCAATCTCACTTCAATCAACCGAGTGTGGGTAAAAAATTTCAATTAATTTTTGATATTTTCCGTAAAGTTGGATAATAAAAAACAACAAAAACAACAACATCGTGTAAAAGTAGTAGCTACGTCGGTAGACGTAATTTAAAAGCAACGCATGATTGGTTTGGCAGTACCACTCCTCTTACATCCAACCCATACACATCATATTGGGGTCCACATGGCGCACGCTAAAGTGAAAGACAGCGACTTATCCTGCGCGCCTCGCCTTGTTTGAAAGGGTTAAGGCTAGCCTTAAACATGCCTACAAGTGTCTTGTATTGTTAGCATCACAGTATTTTAAGGCCGACACTTCATACCCACGGTCCACACTTTGTCGTAAATACGTGTCCTTCCATAATTATACACATATATATATATGTATTAGATATTAGTAGTTTACATCATTATCACATCTTTTATTTTCGTTTACATCATTATCACATCTTTTATTTTCTTAAATTAATTTTAAAATTTATGAGACCTGGCCTGCGGTCGACTCATCTGCACTCAGCACTCGTACCAAACAAATTTGATCCGGATATTCTATGCCTTGAAATTCAGAATAAATGTAAAAACATATTTATAATGTGTTAAATCTATCTTTAACATTATTAATTTAAGTTTTAATGTATTTAACATTGTCGTATTTCAATACATATATTTTAGATTATGAAATACTGATATGGCAAATCATGATTTCGTAATTGTTAGTAAAATAAATAATAATAATAGTAAAGGACAAAAAAGTCCTCTTAAACTATTGTTCGTTTTACAAATAACTCTCATGAATTAAAAATTATTTTTATGAACTATTAATTTATTACAATTAAAAACAAATCTATGGCAACAGATTATTGTACCTTTTCTCATTAAATTTATCATTTCTTGTTAAATTATTTTTATTTATTTTTTCTTTTATCTAAATATTAATTATACTATTTATCTTAATTTTATTATTAGTATCAATTTATCATAAAAATGAAAAAAATAAATTTATTTGTAACTATCATTTTCTAAAATAATTAACTTATTATTAAAATTTGTTATCGGTAATAAAACTTATTATACCCAGTTTAAACTTTTTTACTATAAGAAAAAATATATATTTTCATTCAATATATTGATGAAAATTAATTAATTACTTAAAAAAATATATTTTTTAATATAATATATTCATGAAAAATTAAGAAATTAATTAAATTGTTTTAAGATTTTTTACTTAAAATTTTTATTCAAATAATTTATTAAAAAATTAAAGATAAATTTATGCAAATTTAATAGAGAATATGTCATCAAATTATTATGAATTTTTTTTATAATTTATTTCAAAAAGAAGAATAGATTAAACGTAATTCAATAAGAAATAACATTATGATCGTTTAATGAAATATATTCTAGGTATTAGAGCATTTTGTAACAAAATATAATACCGGAGTATTATGTAGAAAATATAATTAAAGAGAATTATTTACAAATTTACACATAGTTCAATAAATAATTTGCTGGTGATATTGTTTTTGTAAGCATTTTTATGTTTTATGTGTTGAAATTGTATTAAAACATGGAGTATAATAATTGCGTTGAAATACAATTTAATTGCCTTAAAAAATGCTACATCACGCTGCACCACGGAGCCACTAGTGCAGGGGATCCGGACTCGCCTTAGAGGGTAAGACTTGAAACGTCCAACATTTGTTTGTGGGGAGTTGGTCTTGTCTTATTTTGAAACAGTCTCTTTCTCTCTCCCAACTTTTGCGTTTCTTGTTTTGAAAATCTTTGGTGGGTCTTGAAGTTTTTTTTTTGCTTTGAGTTCTATTGTTTGTTGATTTGGGGTGGTTTGGGTTGGGATGGAGGAAAGATATGAGCCATTGAAGGAGCTTGGTTCTGGGAATTTTGGGGTGGCAAGGTTGGTCAGAGACAAGAAGACGAAGGAGCTTCTTGCTGTCAAATACATAGAAAGAGGAAAAAAGGTAATTAATATTCTACCAAATAGATCAATATATATATATATTTAAATTGTATATGTAGATAAATTGCTTCTTTGTATCTTATTTATGTTAGATGAAGTAAAAAATTTGAAATGAGTTTTGTTTATTTGTTGATTTCTTAAAATGGGCTTTGTCTTGAATTTTGTGTTTTCTCTTTTTACAATTTGGAATTTTTGTCATAGTTGCAGCATATTCAACACTGCTTTATTGGTGGTGGTCAAAACTACCCACACATGTTTTTCATTTTCTTCTTTCTGGAAAAAGTATTTTCCACTATGGAGGGTGGTGTGGAAGAAGCCAATAGTGACTTGAATTGCTAATTCATTTGAAGAGAGATAATTTAGGTTGTCATTGTGTGGTGGTTTGGGAAGACATTTAGGCATTATGTCGAAAATTAGATGAAAATTGAAAACTTAGAATTGACTGGACCACCAAGTGGCATATTGTCAGGGACTATCTAATAATTTCTCGGTTTTAGAGGTTGGGTTCTCTCTTATTTTATTTTTTCTTTGCACACATAGGTGTGGTCTAATGTTGATTAGGTGGTATCATAGCATCATTATTGTACATATTAAGTGGAAGTGTTGAAGCAACGCTGCTAGAGGAGCAGCATTGTGGTTTGTGGATTTACCGAGTTGGGGAAATAAGGGGCGTTGAATCGAAATTGAGGACAAGATTACTATACAGTGGCAGGTTTATAGATACAGAGAGTTTGTTTTTCGTTTGGGTGATAAATACTAAATTCTGCTCCCTTCCATTTTTCCCTCAATTAGTGACATTTATATTTGTCATATCGGCCCCATTTGCAGACCCATTGTGGGTGACTCATGCAAATCACTTAATTTTTCTTTCAATTTTGTGGTTTCTTTTCTTTTTCTTCTTCGTTGATTTATTTTTTCCTATTTGGCCTTAGTCTCTCTACCTTTGCACATCTTGCAAAAAAATCCTTATATGATCTCCTTGGATTTATTGGATCAAGAAAATTATCAACCTTGAGCGCATTATATATCTAATAACCAGAATTGAAGTGGCAGGCCTCAATATAACATCTGCTGTCAGAACTTATGCGTTGTGCTAATATTTATTTGGGTGTAAAGTAGATTTTTTTTTATTGACTGCAAAATTGAATTGAAATTAATTTGTATTTGCTTTATATATCTCTTGCCCTTTATTTTAAAGGATGTGAAATACTTGTGGGAGGGAGCAAGTGATGTTGAATCTGGTTTGTCTACCTAACTGTGCCTAGCTGATGAGGCTTAATTTAACATGGTGAAAAACAGCTGTTTGGCTGTGATAAATAATATTTGCATCAATCAAGTTCCAGACAAAACCGAATTTCCTGAAAAGAATGTTAGATTCTTTGAGAATGGCTAAGGCTAGAAAGGTTTGAACTTTTGAATATTTAAAATGACTTGCTTGCTAAGTACAAAGTGTTGACGTGATGACAGAGGAGAAAGACAAGATGGTCATCCTGTTATGTATTGACAACTTGGTGATGACTTTGTGTTGTTATGAAGATGATACACTTGACACCAGGAATGGTAACTGGTGTATTAATTGACAATTTATTATGAAGGGAGAGCTACAAAAACTTCAAAATCTGACCAATTGCTTAGTAAGTCGGCTTTGGATAAGGTTCCAATCTCATAATTAATTGTTTTATGAGGCTTTTAACTCAAATGACAGCTTAGGACATAATTCTAATTAACAAGAAAGTTATGAGAGAATAATATACTGGAAAGAGATATTTAGGAGGTTCAATATGTTACTTTATAACTTACCAAAAAATGTTTTACTTTGTAAACTACATTGGATTCTGTTTGTGTTATAATGAGCTGAGCTTTACTTGGCTGAAACTAATCCATACTGTTCTGAAACATCAAGCTAAACAAGCTTGGCTTGAAACTTGGCTCCATAGCAAGCACTATAACTGAGGTTTCATTTTATCAATCGTGAGCAGAGGATATATATTTTATGAACATCTGAATATGTCCATGCATTAAAGATATTCAGTAAAGCTTTGAACCAACATCCAAATATGTCAAAATAGTAACCTGAACTCTTCTATAACTTGACATAGTATCCCATGGGGGTTCAATTACAAAAACCATGATATGTCCGACGGGAGTGAAGATGTTCACTGAACTCATTTAACTTCTGGTTAGTTGGTAGGTAAGTCACTGCTATATGACTTGTTCAATTGCTCTAGTACTGAAGAAGGCAACTTGCCCTGTGGCCACTGAAAGCCCTTAGTGATAAAGACGAATGAATAAGTGATTGTTTACTGAAAACAGAATAGAGAAAATGCAAACGCATACGAAAAAATGAAGTCAGTTCCACGATGAACCTTGTTGTATGAGGAACCGATATTTGTAGGATATTCCAAATACACACGGAAAAATCACATTAGAAGACCTTAGAAGCACAAAAAGGAACAGGTTTGAGGTGGGGGGTAGATTTGTGTGTGGAAGCAGGGAAATGCTTTCCTTAGAAGGTGCAAGTGTGCATTTATATTTTGTCTAAATTATTAAGGATAAATCCGAGTTTGCATAAAAATGAAAACAAAATTGGATTTTTTTGAATATTTTACTTAAAACATAATAACAATTAATATAGAGTGATATTCCATTGTCAAATTAAATTCTTTCTTAATATCATGATATGGATGTAGTTTTGGTTGCCTCCCCCCCGCCCCCTTTTCTTTTCATGAATTTCAGTTTTGTTCTGTTGCAGATTGATGAGAATGTTCAGAGGGAAATCATAAATCACAGATCATTGAGGCATCCTAACATTGTCAGGTTCAAGGAGGTAAGCATCATACTTATTTTGTTGCTCAATGTTATTGCCACTTATTTAAGCTTTTGGGGTCTTCATATAATTACTTGATGGTTTGTGTTTATGGCTTTTATTAAACTCACCAATTTAGTCAGACAAATTTTAGCAAGCAATTTTTTGGTGGTAGTTGTCCAACAAAGGTTTTGATCAGTAAGTTGGCCTGGATTTTGGGCTTTGATATTGAGTGAAGGTTACTAGTCCATCTCCATAATTCCAATGTTGCACCTGAATGAACTCGTTACAAGATTTTTATAATTTTTTTTCTTTCAGTAATTCTGTTCTTGTATGTATCTTACTTGTACTATACATGGAAATGTTACTTATAAATACCACTATATGTCATTATAAACTTTTGGGTGCTTTATAATCAAGAAAAACAAAAAAGCTAATTGCATCTGAGACACTACTGCATCTTAGAAAGCTCATATTTACATTAAGGTATTGAATCTAGTAGCCCACATCACAAATACTTTGATGGCTCAAGATTTATGATATAGATTTTATTTGCTGTCAATATTGTTGCTTTAAACACGAAAATTGTAAGTTTGTCAATGCCAACAAATATTAGTTCTATCCAGATGGTATATATCCATGTTTTTGGTGAAATAATGCTCAGCTTATTGGGCTGGACGATAATTGGATGAACAAACCAATGAAGGTGAGATCGTAATTGGATTAGTGCCTTGTGTTTGCAATGGAACTTATCAAAGCATGAGCTTCTGAATATTGGAATATGCTTTAAAAAATCAGGACGTATGCTAGAGGCATTGTGCCATGCTGTTTTTTTGAATATATTTGACATCACTGCACTTTGAAAAGCCATTTTTGGTGACACAATCTTCACTAGCTGTTCAGAACTTCTGCCTTCTTCTTTCTATTTTATAATGGCTTAGAATTTTGAAAGCAAACAAAAGAAGATGAACTTCTACTTTCAGAAAAATAAAGAAGAGAGTAGAGAATGTTCCTTCTGGTAATGACCTTTGTTCTGTGAGAGTAACTGAATTCTGACTAAGAAATTATTGCTTCTTCTATATATAAAAGACACTTGGGCAACTATGAATTTGATCTCTTCCATTTATATCAAGTGTTCGCATATAAGAATATTACAACAATTATAAGTTAACATTTTTCGAAAAAGGTATCATCCAATTCCGGTCTTGTCAATGTGCCTAGATGGGGCGGACTGGTGGTAACCCAACAAATAGCTTATTCACATGGAGTTATTGCCTCTGCAATCAAATGCATTGTCATGCTGACAGTCCACTGAACTTTTGCAGTTACACAGCTTAACTTGGTTGATATATATTTTTAATAGGCAAGCAATTTAATTAAGAAAGAAAGTCATTACAACTACAAGGGACATACCCTGGGGAACAATACATCATGAAAACCCTAGCACTACTAAAGGAAAAGGAATAAAAATACATCGATGACAAGGACTAAGAAAATACAAAAGTACAACAACAATGCTCTTAAAAATGAGATCCTCATAACAAGGCAACCAAAAACCAGTGCTAGAAGAAACAGCAATCAATTAACTCAGCAATAGGATGAGCATTAGGATATGCAGCCAGAAAAGCTATATGCAAAAAACCAGGTACATGGTTGAATATGCAAACAACTCAAATTAGTTGAATTTTTGTTGTTGAGAATCAAAAAGAAGAAGTGAGAAGCTTCATTTTTTCCTTAAAATTTTTCTTGGTAACCAAACTGGTACTTGAGTTATTAAGTTGACCTGATGCAAGGCTTGTGCAGATATATAATAAATTATAATAAATAATTAGACTTGACATCCCCAAATATATGAAGTCTGGTTTTCTTGACTCGAAAAAATATTAAATCACAAGAACAATTGTGACTGCAGGTTTTGTTGACTCCAACACATTTAGCTATAGTAATGGAATATGCAGCTGGAGGTGAGCTCTTTGCAAGGATATGCAGTGCTGGTCGATTCAGTGAAGATGAGGTTGTAAATGCATAACTTGCATTTCTATGTTCATTAGACTTGCTTAGTTGTTTTTCCTTCTCTTCATCGCAAATAAATGTCCTCTATTGACATTTGGGTAGCTATTGTTTGTTTGTTGAAAATCCCTTCTACAACAGGCAAGATTTTTCTTTCAGCAGCTAATATCTGGAGTCAGCTACTGTCATGCCATGGTATAATTTTTTAAACGATCTCGTTTAATATTTTTGTACTATATTCTTCTTCTTACATCACTTCTTTTATTGTAGGAAATTTGTCACAGGGACCTGAAACTGGAAAACACTCTCTTGGATGGAAGTCCAACACCACGTCTTAAAATATGCGACTTTGGTTATTCCAAGGTTAATAATAGTTCCCTTTGGAATAAGGTTTTGTTGAGTTGTGGTGTTTTATGCTACAGTTGAAAATTCTAGTTGGGTTTCTTATTTATTCATTTTTTCTGCTGCTTATCTTTTCTTATCTCTTACCAATTTATCTTTTTGAATTGCAGTCTGCCTTGTTGCACTCACAACCCAAATCAACAGTAGGAACACCAGCATACATTGCTCCAGAGGTCCTTTCACGAAAAGAGTATGATGGGAAGGTATTTTTTACTATATAAAATGGCTATTTCAGAATCTTTATTTTTTTATTTCTTATTTTTTACTCTGTTAAGGTGCATAAGTTGGCAGTTCTGACCATCTTATTGTTATTTAACAAATACATTACAATCTAGGACTAAACTATAGTCCTTGTGTTCCCATCGATGATGAAGGAAATCAGCCCAAGAAATGGATGAGAAAACATAAGATCTTGTGTCAAACAAGCTACAGATTAATATAATGTGTTTGTGTATGTGGACTCTGTTTTTCCTGGAGGTATAATATGCTTTAGCTGCTTGGTCATCAAAGCCAAACGTACTTTATGTTTAGTATAGGTTGCATGGTTCACACAAGCTTGTGTATATATAAGCATTTACACAGACATAGATATGTGCATGCATAATACACACACAGCTTAAAGGAGTGAGTAAAAATCTCATTTTAGGAAATTTATTTTTTTCTCTTTTCGGAATTTTAAATCTTCTACTGGTTCCTCATCTTCAATTGTACTTACCTATTCAACGCCAGAAACCTGTGCTCAAAATTTTTACCCTGATGAAAGAAAAAAGACGTGCTTACGTGGTAAAATATCAGAAATGGATTTGAGGCAAGATATATTTCCTCTTGGGAAATGAATCAGTAACTTTATGTGGAAAATTCTCTATGCGTTATTTTAGTACACTTTTAGGGGAACTGATGTAATGTAGATTTCGAGAAATGAAAGTGTTTTGATATGTTACTTGTATCTCTTGATAATTTAGCAAAAGCGCTCATTCTCAGCCTGTCTAAAAGTTGAGAATCTGCCTTGAAATAAACCATGGCAGTCAAAGAGCCATTTTTTAATGTTTGCTTGTGTGCTTTTATGTGCCTGCAGCCTTGCACTAATTCTATTTGGTTAGGTTCTGTCAAATATTTTAAGTCTGATAGTTTTTTTGTTTTAGATTGCAGATGTTTGGTCCTGTGGTGTGACATTATACGTTATGTTGGTGGGTGCATACCCTTTTGAGGATCCTGAAGATCCTAGAAATTTCCGTAAGACTATTGGGGTGAGTTCACATCAAAACAGTGATTTTAAAGTGGGATCAGCAATCTTTGTATTGATGGATTTGTAGATGTTAGTACATTCAAGTTATTTTTTTTTATTCTTAACAGAGAATTATGAGTGTACAGTACTCCATACCCGATTATGTGCGCGTCTCTGCAGATTGCCGGCACCTCCTTTCTCGTATTTTTGTTGCCAATCCTTCAAAGGTGACTCCTTCTTCATGGATATTTCATCCTTCTCTTAACATTTGCTGATTTTTTTCTCAAGTCTTCCCATCACAGCAGTGGTACAACACTAATGAAATTAAAAATAGTTCCATTTTAGTTTCACAAAATTTTCTGTTTTTTATTTCTCATAACTTTTGTAAAGAGTGTTTGGTTTTGTGAGTAGTATTTAATTGCATGTAGAATATAATATTAGAGACTCTACTTCCTAAGTGAGAGATTAGAAGGTCAAAAGCATACACTCCATGAGGGACTCTCTGCAATAAAGTTATTTTAATTTTATCTTCCTCTTTAGGAAGGTTTGTTCGTCCCTTTCGTGGCGTGTCTGGTTAAGATTGAATTTTTTCCCGAGAGCTAATTGACATTTCTTTTAGATTTTGATGATCAACTAACTCTGTGCAATTCTTCTTAAAGAGAATCCCCATTCCAGAGATAAAAAAGCATCCTTGGTTTCTGAAAAATATGCCGAAAGACCTGATTGAAGGTGAAAAAACAAACTACGAGGAAACTGATCGTGACCAACTACTTCAGAGTGTGGAAGAAATAATGCGGAACATACAAGAGGCAAAGACTCCAGGGGAAGGATCCAAAGCAGCAGGAGGGCAAACTGCTGCCGAGGAACTGGACCCTGATGATTCGGAAGCTGATTGGGAGTCTGAGGTTCTCAACAGCGGCGACTTTGGGGACACTGTCTGAGTATATGGCTCCAGAAGAGCATACTGAGAGACCTCATACGTAACATTTGGTGTGCTATTTAGACATTCTATTGAATTCGGTATTTGTATAGTAGACTATATGTATGACATAAAGATATGTACAACCAAGTTATATACTGAAATTGAAGTGTGCTATTTACCTATACAATTCTCATTTTTGTGGATTGTTTTCCTTTGTTGTTATGTTTGAATGTGCAATACAAAAGTTTGTTCAATTATCATCATTGGTTTTAGGGCTCGTTTGGCTCAACTTTTGCTTATTCTAATATTTAAAGCTCTTTTGAAATATGGTTTCCAAAGTAAGCCAATCGAAACTAATAGCTTATGCTTTTCTTCTTTTACTCTCTATGCGCTACTGTTTGTATATTTTAGAAGAGCTTTTCACGAGGAAAGAGACATTTGTTGAAGCTCTTCTAATATTAAAACAACTTTTTTGCCCCAATATGGTATTAAAATGGCATTTGGATTCTAAAAGCCAAAAGCAACTTTTAAAAAGATATTCCAAACAGGCTAGTCTAGTGGAAATCTGTGACTAGTGACTGCTATTGGTATGGTCAATTTTGATTATCTGGGTTAGTGTTTTATTCTTGTTAGTTACCCTTGGATTTCAGTGATTGCTTAATGGGCTACAGGTCAATGTTAAAACTATTGCCATACCACATTCATCAAGAAGCTGGAAGTCCACTGGACTATTTGTGGGCCAACATAGTCTCTGTTATAGCATACTATAGGCCCAACCTGAACCCAGCTCGACTCATCTAGGCAACCCCGGTCACTTTCTTCAATTCTAGACCTGATTTATTTAAAATGATACAAAAACACACAACATTTTACTATTTAATAACAACAACAACAACAACAATCCCAAATTGCAAAATTTCCCTAAAAACTATCCACTTTTGGCAACTTATTCCCTTTTACTTTCAATTTGGCAACAAATCCCCTTGAACTTATTCAAAAATTTGCAATCTCTTTCTTACAATGGCTCTGACCATGATGATTATATTATAAAATTTAATTCAAACTTTGAACTAATATTTTTTTTTTTTCAAATTCAAGACATTAATTCAGCACTCTCAAATACGACATAAATGTAAAATTACTGACTTGTTATGCCTATTAAGCATAGAATGTAAAAAAAAAAAAACTACCGATTTCTAACTATATAAGTAAAATATAGAAAATCATTTTCCTTTTTTCATCCCATTCTTTCACATTCCTCACGAACCCATAGGCCAAAACCAACAATATCTTCAGTAACCCTTTATATCTTCATCGTGGGGCAACTGAATAATACTAGATTGATTGGCATTATCCATTATCCAAGGATTTTTAATCACAGTTTCTTAGTTGCCCGAGTGGAACCCAATTTTTGTTTCTGGAAAGAGGGAGTGCACTTTCTATCGTCATCCCACTATGGGGGAATAAGTCAATTTCTCAGTAGACTGTGGACCTACTGTTTTTATTCTTTGTGATCATTAGAAAGGTCTAATCATGAGTTCATATCAATGTTGTCAAGATGGAACCATGTCACTGACCTAACCACTGTTTGATCAGGACCGGTCGTTGGGTTCAATCCAATTGTCAACTACAGTATTTCATAATAGAAAAATGATTCTTTTTTCGAATGTTGAAAAAAAAGGAGAGTCGGGTCGGGTTCAATTCAATTGTCAACTCCAATATAACGTATATATAGAATAGGTAAATGGGCTCCTCCACTATGTTTCACACGCCCACCATGTTTCATGTGGGAATGGGAAGTGTTTATGTAACAATTTTCCCTCTAACCAAACACAATATTATTATTTTTTAGTCTTCAAGGATTACTCATCTTACTATTACTTGATGTTAAGTAGGTTTATTTTCAAAGTTTTGAGGAATTTACGACCATCACAGTTTTAAAATACATTATGTTATAAAAGAGTGTTGAATATATATATAACACTTGTCCCATCTGCACTCAGGTGATGTGGGATTCTGCACATGTAACTCGCCCAGTGTGGTAGCTTACTGGTACTACCTGCATACGCTCACACACACTTACTCACAAGGTCACTACAATCACCCCTTTTGGCCTAACGTCCTCGTTGGCCACACTTCTGACTTGGTCAGACTTTGATACCATTTGTTAATTTAGTGGGGATTAACACCCCCCAAAACAGAATAGAGGTTCTGCTAGGTGGTGGAAGTTCAATCCAAATTAAGTCATTTTTGAATCCAAACTAATCGGATTGAAGTAAACTTTCCAATAATACCAACCTCTTCAAAACTCTAATCATAGAGGGAGTTATGTCCATTTTAGTGCAAATTGTTCGGAAAATCTCCAAACTGAAAAGGCCTATTTGTGGGAAGCCATGACCATAGCCACTGAAACCTTGTGGGATGGGTTTTGTTGGTTCGATTATATGATTTGAATGAACTCCATTTGACTCATTTAGGGTCATCTCATCTTCTACCTTTGACTTGATATGACCATTTTACACTTCTGTGATCTCGGGTTTGGGTAAGGACCCGACTAGTGTTTGGATCCACGGATTTGGGTGAGAGTTGTTACAGTTTCAATTTTCATTTGTTTCTCAACTTTTAGAAGATGTAACCCAGTTCTTTATAAAATTATTTTGAGTATTTATCATGGCTCTTCTTGAAATGTTGAGGTCTCTCTCTCACGGTGATATTTCTTTCTTTTTCCTTATTTTTTCAGTATCAACATAAAAAAAGGTGAGAGAAACTCACATTTTGTATTACAATTGAATAGTTATGTGTCTAATCGTAATTTGTAGAAGAGTTATGATATATAGACTCTCTGAATTTAGAGAGTTCAAATTAAGGTGATATAGGAAAATGATTGGATTCAATCCAATTGCCAATTCCTGTATTTCGTAAAAGAAAAATGATTATTTTTTTTGACAGTAGGAAAAAAAATGGGAAGTTGGATACATCCAATTGTCAACTTCAGTATTTCGTTGAAAAAAAATGGGGCAAATTTCACAAAACCCCTACTGCAATAATTTTTTGGTCACGTGCCTCCAACCTAATTTAAAAAACTCTAAAATTTGATCACATTATCCCAATTCTGTGATTAAATGAGGGAAGTAACCTTCTATATACCAATTGATTTAAAAAAGCAAAAATCTGTATTTTGTCAAATCCAGAAATAACTTTGATGACATTTAACTCATCAAGTCACAAAACGACGCGTTTTAATGTGCAAATATCTTGGCACTAAATGCAGTCGTTTTATTCAAACCCATTTCACCATTCTCTTCACTACCATTCTCTTCTATCTCTCACTACACTTTATCTTTCTACCAATGATGAATCAAACAGGGACAAGAAGAAGAGCTTAGTGAAAAAACCCAACAATAGTGTAATGGTGTTTATCAATACAAGCCAATCAAAAATGAAAACCCATTTGATCTTCTTCACTACCATTCTCTTCTCTCTCCTCACCGGAAAATCTGAACTCGCCACTGACAGAGTGGCGCTTCTAGCTCTCCGCGCCGCCGTCGGCGACTGATCCCTTCTCTGGAACACCTTCGAGCCCACCCCATATTCTTGGCCAGCGTGACATGATCATCACCGAGCTCCGCCTCCCTGGCATGGGGCTTTCCATCCAAATCCCACCACACACAGTCAGAAATCTGACCCACCTCCACAGACTCAGTCTCCACTTCAACGCCCTCTCCGGCCCACTCCCAAATGACCTCGCTTCCATTTTAGGCCTAAAAACGAACCTCCTCTCTCTTCGAGGATGTTAAGACTCGCTTCGAAGGAGCCAAACGAGCAATTCTGACGTCGATCGACGGTATCGCCGACGGAGGAGAATTGTTGATCTAAAATTGAGAATTTTGTCTACGTCACGAACTGTGATTGGTCTTTGCGCCTGAAAATCAATTTTACTTCGTGCTCTGGGCACGGCAGCAATGATGACGACTCTGGGAATTTAGAAAGCAATTTTGTGATACAAGCCTTCAATTGATCGAAGACCAAATGGGGAAGAGCTAGGCTTTAAAAAGCTTGGTTGGGTAGAGTTTTGGGTTATATTAGAAGGGTTTGGTGTTTGGGGGTGGAGAATATAAATATTATATATATATATATAGAGAGAGAGAGAGAGAGAGAGAGAGAGAGAGAGAGATTGTGCATACCATATAAACATTAGTGGTGGAGATTTCACTGTTGGCTATGATTTCATTGGCCGGAAGAAACATAGTGGTGGTGGTTGTTGGGAAGAGGATGGTAGTGCTGCATGGTTATGGGGTGGGATGTTGGTGGTGGCGCCACGTACTGGCCTCTAGTGGTTGTGGGTTGGGAATAGTGTTGGCAGTTACGAAGATGGTGTTGGTGGTGCTGCGGCGGTCGCCGGTGGTGGCGCTGTAATCTCCGGAATCCATGGTCGGTTATACTATCTATATGTAATGGAGATGGAAAAAAGAAAAAAATAATATATAAAATGTGTTAGTTTGAATATATATATATATATATATATATATATATATATGTTCAAATTTCACAAAACGACCACGTTTGGTGATTACTCAAATGTCACTAAAGGTTATTTCTGTAATTTTGAAAATACTGATTTTTGCTTTTTTAAATAAATTGGTATATCATAAGGTTAATTTTGTTATTTAACCACAAAATTGGGATAATGTGATCAAATTTAATAATGTTGGAGGTTTTTTAAAATAGGTTGGGGTATATGATAAAAAAATAATAGTAGTGGGGGTTTTGTGAAATTAGCTAAAAAAAAAAAAAAATGATTCTTTCCCCGAAAGTTGGAAATTAAAGGAATGGGAAGTCGAACTCTCCTCATCCATAAGATACAATAGAGTAGGCTAGTGGGTCTCTCCACTTAATTGCATAGCGTAAATGAGATACATTCAGCTCTCCATTTGTTTTTCAACTTTAAACGATGTATCATGATTCTTTGTAAAATCATTTAGTATCTATATATCATGACTCTTTCTCATAGCACCAGGCACATAATTATTCAAACTTCTCTCCTCATTTTTTTCACTAGCATTAGAGATAGATAAAAAATAATCACAACACAAAAGATAGGTAAAAGATAATCACAAATTATATTACATTGTTTAGTCATTCAGAAAGAGTCATGACAGACCCTCCAAATTTAGAGAGTCGAGAAGTGAGACAGAAAGGTGGTGGGGCCCAAAACTGTGTGGGATCCACCACCGCCCCCTCTATCTCACACATATTGAATCTCTCCGAATTCGGATAGAATGTCTATAACCATTATGTGGAGAATTCCATGAAATATAAGTTGTAGCAACCTTAAAACACAAAGATGCTACTTCAAAAGAAAGAAAAAAGGAAAAAGTGGGAAAAGGACAGCAAAATCTCAAGTTCTTTAATTATTAAAGCACTTGGATTTCAAGCTTAGAATGTGGGGTTGATGAGTTTGCATTCACACCATCAACAACCACCTCCCTTTCTTCTGCTTGATATGTTGAGTGGACACCATACATTACATAAAACAACGTTATCAAACACGACCATACACCAAACCTTTGGTATGACAATTTCTTCAGTGTAGTCATGAGGAAGACATTGAGGAAGATGGATATTGCAGCTGGCCATGGCATGAAGGGCACCGACCACTCGGTGGGACGGATAAGACAAGGGACCATGTAATGGAAGAAGGCAGTGATGGTGACCATAGCCCCGCCAAATAATGGTAGCCCCCACCATTGTTGGTTGAGCTTCCATGACAAGGAGAAGCCAATTGAGCTACATGAGAGGAGGAAGAGGAACAGGAGTGTGTGTAATGGATGATTTTTACTAGTGATTACATATCGGTGGTAGATTAGAGCATTGGCCACCAGATAGAACACCAGGAGTGTGCCGATGGAGATCATTTCAATCACTATGTCAAGCTCTGTGAAGAGTGCAATTGATGCTGTGCAAACCCCTACAACCATGCATATTTAAAGATTGATCATGGGTTTATTTATTTATTTCCAATTTTTGGTTTTCATCTTTTCCTTGTGATTTAAAGCATGCATCAACATTCTGTAAAAGAATACCCACTGTAGTCAGAATGTCAAAATATAGATTTGTCAAATTAGAATGAAAATTAGTGGAGAAGAAAGAAAATGATAAATAAGTTAAAAATTGCTGAACTTTTAATGTTAAATAACCTTAGTTTCCAGAATACTAGAGTTTGGGAGGTATATACATATGGATATGTACTTAGCTAGCTTACTATTCATTTATTCAATTGCTAGACTTTCTGGGAAACAAAAAACTTACTATTACATAATAAATCCTTTTGTAGAGCTGAGAAAAGGTTGCAAGGTTATCTTAGCTGAAAATTTCATATAGATAGTTCCTTCCAAAAGTATTCTGTAAAAGCTAGGAAATTCATTTCTTCATAACATTATCATTTGTGTTGGTTAAATATTAAACCAGTCTTGGGAATTGAAGTACAGATTTTCTTCTTCCTTTTTTTCTTTTCAATAAATTAAAATTTATTGAAAATACAGAAACTTATTGAAGTGAAGATTTTCTTTTTTGATGGTGCTCCTCTCCCACTTCCTTTTCTTTTCTCTCACCCCTCCCCCCTACCCCTTTATATATATATATATATATATATATATATATATATTGTCAAACAAGATCTTTAAGTACTTCTCCCTCTTACAAAAATGATGAAATCTTGGACAAGATTTTGGCATAAAAATGGTTGAAAATATATTTAGTTCAACTTAATTGTGATCAAGTATATCCTTATTACACAATATAAATACACACACAAATATAGGATCTATTTCACTATAAATTTATGTACACTCACCTTCCAAAACACACACACACACACAAAAGAGAGAAAAACAATCAATTGAGCATTTAAACCTTTATTTGGAAAAAAAAAAAACATTTGTGGGAAAATGCATGTTTCCTCCAATATTCCAATGGACGCTATTTTTTTGTTTTTTCTTCCTTGCTTTAGTATTCTGAGGTTATTCATATTGTATTAAAGAAAGGGAGGGGGGTTGAGATAAATATAGAGAAGTGAAATATGCACTTGTAGCAGCTAAATTCACTTACCCAAGAAGAGAGTTGCATTCAGTGGAGTGCCTGTGGAAGGATGCACCTTGGCGAACCAGGACGGCACAAGCCGGGCCCTTCCAATTACACACAGATACCTAGCTTGGCCAAGCATGGCAACCAGAAGAGAAGCCACAATCCCAAGGCTTGCACCTGCTCCAACAACATTACTCGCCCATCTCCAACCCATCTTTTGGAAAGCCATCGAAAATGATGCTCTACTCAAAATCTGAAAATAACTTGAAGAATATTATAATACCTATGCATATAACATTGTTAAGCATAGTCTAATATTACTTGCACATCTTTGAATTGATTTCACTGACCTTGTCATAAGGAACCATCACACACAAAGACAAAGCCATTAGGCAATAAAGCACCGAGACGATGATTACAGAACCAACAATGCCCACAGGAAGGCTCTTTGAAGGGCTTTTGATCTCCTCTGCCATGGTTGAAACTGAGTCATAGCCGATGTAGCTGAAATAAACTATGGCTGCTCCATCAAGAACACCTTTGACACCAAAAGGAGCTAGGCCTCCTGGCTTTACTAAGTTTTGAGTACTCCCATTGAAGACACCAGCAATTATAATAAAACCAAAGAAAAGCACATGAAACACTGTCATTATAAGGTTCAATATGGAGCTTTCCTTGGTGCTGCAATCCCAAAAAAAGAAAAAAAGAAAAAAAAAAAAAGAAAAAAAAAGAGAAAAAAATATCCATTACTTTCACATCCCACTAAAACAAACACCATTACTTCATATTCCAATAACGGAAAAAACATAAAATAAAGCTATGGTTATGGTTATGAAGATAATAATAAAAAGGGTTGATCTCTAGTGTTGTTTGATTTGTCGGAGTGTGCTGAAAGGGATGGACTGGGTACAGATCTAATAGTAAATCAAGTTTTTACCATTACTTCAATCAATAGTATTATTTAACTATGAGATAATTAGATAATGAAAAGAGTTTTTGTAATACTTTCAAAAATAATGTTATTAAACCTTCAAAGATTAATAAATACAATGACCTGCAATCTCTCCTAATCGAGTACAAAACCATAACTGAAGACAATTCTGAACCAAAATCCACTCACCATTAATGTCCAAAAAAAAAATGATAAAATTTGTTCACACTTTATATAACCACCAACACAACTAATGAAGAAAAGTTGATAGTAAGGTAGAAGAGGAGTGTTCGAGAAGTTCTAGAGGCAATATCGTTGATGTGTTACATTTCTATTGGAAAATAGGGGTTTTGCTTGAACTTTCTAAGAAAAAAAAAAAGGTAGAAAGAAGAGATCGATCAAACCTATGGCATAAACAGACAGTGAGAAGAACAAGAAGAGCAACAGCTGGGAAATCCAACATGTTATAACCCTTTACTAATCCATCTACTTCTATCCTCCATGAGTTTGGATCATTCTCTCCAAAGGCACAGCATAAATACTCGGTAAAACTTCTCGCCACCGCAGCGTTTGACAATACATATTCCATTAGTATGTTTGCACCAGCAAAATAACCCACAAATTCCCCTGCACCATTTTTGTCAAAAACAGTTCAGTGAAGTACAAAAAGGTACTTAAATGCATATATACATACATATATATAACATCATTACTTTTCATACCAAAGGTCACTCTTAGATAACTGAAGGCACCTCCAGCCACAGGAATTTCAATGGAGAATTCTGTGTAACACAAGGAGGAAAGAAGAGCTGCTATGCCGGCGATGATGTATGAAATGAAGATGGAAGGGCCTGCGATTTCACGAGCCACGGGACCAGTGGTGACAAAAACTCCAACACCAAGCATGCCTCCAAGGCCAAGAGCAACCAAGTCATACCAGTGGAGTTTTCTCTTCATGTCTGCACCAGACCTTAGCCTCACTTTGTTGAGCTCTTGGTCTGGTGTCCATGTAGCTAACATTCTTTTTCTAAGCCTGTGAGGTGTCTGGGAGAGTGAATGAAGATAGGTTGAAGAGAAAATATTGTTGGGTTTTGAAGGATGATGAATATTGGCAGCTGCCATGTTTTGTGATGATTCAGTACTGAGTGTTTTGGCTTCCATGAGAAGGCTGAAGGGAAGGTTTTAAATATGCATTGGTGAGAGAATATATGGTTAGCTTCTTTTTCTTAAAGGGTGATGGAGAACCCCAATGGGTGTCCTCTTGTTTTTATTGAAAGTTCAAGGTTGTCCTTTGGGTGTCTCTAAAATGACCATTATACCCCCCTCTCTCTCTTTTTCCCTCCCTCTCCTTTTTAGAGGCCCAAGACTCCACAGAGTTTCTCCTAATATTAGAGAAGAAAGCAAAAAAAAGGTAGAAAAAGTCCCAAACATTTTGAATAAGCATGCAGTAAGAGGAATCAGAAAGAGAAGGGGGACTTTGACCTAATCTTTTGGAATTTTCTCATCTAAAACTTTGAAAAGATGTGACAAGCATCTCACACTTTGTTAAAGCAACTAAAGATTTCTTCATTAAGTCTTGAGAATAATTGCACTTAATTGATCCTTGAACACATTATGATCATAGTTATTAATGTTACTTGTAATGTACTAAGATAGAGTGATCTTTGTTTGGTCATACTTATCCTGTGGAAGAAGTCAATCTGGGGTATTCCCAAGTTTCTTTTGGTGTGAATACTCCCAATTAAGAAGTATAATATAGAATATCATCCTATTTTAAACATAAATAACATATATGTTGAATACAAAATGTAAAACTGCATTGCTTTTTTAAGCAGTCAGACGAACCTAAATTTTTGTCCCATGGGTTTCTTTATCCATTCTACAAGTATTTGGGGAATGCAACTTGAATTTTATTTTTCCTCTTGAAGTTTCTACAACAATGTCCTTGAATTTCGTAGAAACTTTCGTTTGGCGCACAGTGTCCTATATAGTGATTTTGCATTATTGGACTAATCAACCTCTTAGTCTTGAATGATGCACGTACTGGATTTGCAGGCAATGGCGTGCACTTGGAGTTTGTAAACTATCCAAGAGTCTAATGTGACTAGCAGATGAATTGATTCTTCGTGAAAATCTCAATCAATCAAAGGATCTCCTTTACCTTAGGATGAAACGGAAGCAACAATTGACAATCACAAGTTATAGAGAAAACTAGAATATTATTGCAAGTGTAAAAATCTGCTCTGCAATAAATCTATATACTAGTAGAGAAATCCTAAATTGGCCTATATTTGGTACTCTCTTAAAATCATCAAAAAATAGAAATAAAAACTAATCAATAAAATAAGATAACTATAAAAAGTCAGCCAAATCTATATTCGATCAACCACTAACAAGCCTCTTGAAAAATACTATTACCATAGAAGATGCAAAAATGGAGTCTTAAACGATGAATTTGGCCGAAAAGTGATGTATGTCACAAGCAAAACTGGTGAGTATTGGTTGTTAGACCAATTTCGATAGAAAATGAGTCTTTTTGTGAGTCAAAACAGGTTTGTCAAACTATACTGGTAAACATGTCAGTCCCTCTATTTAGCCTTCAGTCCAAACGCTAGCAAGGCATTGACCTCTTCTATATCACCTAAAAATTTGTTTTTCTATTCTTCACTTTTGCTATATATATATATATATATATATATATATATATATATATATATGTTCCTATTTTATATTCCCTGTGTAAACTATCTCATGCTTCAGCTTTTATGCATAACATAGCCTTTCTCTTTCCTTTGAAGGATGACTTCATCAAGATTGGTCCCAATAGTACTAATTCATTTAATACATTTTTGATGGTAAATGTGTTGAAGGCTTATCCTTAAAAATAAAATAAAATAAAATAAAATAAAAGAGAGGAGATTTTCGTGAGTATGAAGCTGATACATATTGGTAGTGTAGAAAAAAAAAAAAAGTAGACGAATTAATCTCCTAATGTACCACCAATATTTACCTAGAAACCAAAAGAAGATAATGTTGATTTAGAAATAAATTTCCACAACCAGTTTGACCAACACAAATGTAAGAGAGAGGAAGAAAAAAGTTCATTAATTTCCAGGAATTTAACTTGAGGAGGAGTTCATTAGTATGTACTTTCTAGCATTTCATGATTAATTATGTATGTATTCAATTAGGTATGAAGCTAGGATGAGTTGAGTCCCATCACTTCCATTTCATACATCAGCTTGTTATCATGTCACATTACCTTGTAGCAATATTAGTTATCAATGTTTGATTACTTCAAATATAGTAATGTCCAAGATAAGTTATTCTAAGCTTGGTAAAAGAAAATTTCCACAAATCAATCCAGAATCATATCATCATTGCATATTCAATTGGCAGTTAAATACTTTAAGCATATCGAATTTATATTATTCAAGATCTAATCAAGTTTGTGTTCTTAATATTCTTATCTAGCTAGCTTTGATCTACTAGAATGTACCCTTTTTCATTCTAGTAATTATAGCTCTATAGGGCATACACCTCAGTATTTTATTTCCTTAATTTGCATACTTGACATAATTCGGTAAATCCAATGGATTTAGGCAATCCCACTTTGGTGAATTAAGTCAATAAGCGTTTCAATGAAGCAATAGTTATTAACTAGTAGTGGAAATTTAGGTCACTACATCCAATAGAATAGGTTTCAAGGTACTTTACAAGAAGATCAAAACAACTTTGTATATGTAACTTCTTATAAAGAAATGAACTGGACAGGAATCAGTTGTGGAACTTGTGGGCAGTTAACAGTTAGATGATGAATGAAAAGTTTGTTTTTAAAAACACAAGTGGGAGAGATGGTGGCACAATATCATCACCATGCGCGCTTATCCTTTGTCGCTCTTTTTCTCCATTTTTCATTCTTACCATTAATATGGTACAAAGTCAAAAGGCACTCGTTTCTTGGTGCGAATCAAATCCAATAGATTTTGGCAGCCATATAAGATGAAGAAGAAGATAGGCCTTTGTGATCTTGTGTACGTGTTTACTTAAATCAGATTATTCGCTACTCTATCATCCAACTCAATTCATCAGTAGTAATGATATTCTTCGTCAATTTGCTTCTCCAAGCATACTGGTGGGAGACATTTTTTTTGGCCACTTTTTTCTGTCAATATCTATTTGGATTACTAAGTGGATGAAAGGTTCTATAATTAGGATGATCACGTGAAAAAAGTCTGTTGTGGTCATGCTTGAATTAATATTGGGGTATCTATAATGCTAATCATGGTTCTATTGAAATCATGAGTCACAATACAAACTTTGTGTTGTGTCCTATCCTTTCACATGAATAAAGAGAAGAATTAAAGCCAACCAAAATGACAAAAAAAAAAAAATTGTCTGAGTCACAATACAAACTTTGTGTTGTGTCCTATCCTTTCAAATGAATAAAGAGAAGAATTAAAGCCAACCAAAATGCCAAATAAAATTGTCTCCTATAATGTTCAAAGTCAATCCTTATCTAGTAGTATTTCTGTATTTATCTCCTTGTAATTGGTTCAAAGCCTTGAGCTTAAGCATATATAGGCATTTCAAAATAAATGACTTGTAATGAGTAACTACCACTAGAATTATTATAATTATTCTGTGTTAACAAGTATATATATATTGCTTTACAATTGCAGAAAACTAAGATACAACTATGATTATGCTCATAGTTTAGTTAAACTGTCTATTATATATGTGCTTCTGATGTCATGGATGGCTTCAAAATAGGTTGAAGCAATAGAAGGAAAAATAATAAAAAGGAAAAGCATTATATATATATATATTTATATATATTTCTTTGATGACACCAACTATAAGCATGATAAGCATTTGCAGACTAGACATACAATAATTTTTGCACCTTGATATGATTTATGACAACTCTATGTCTCTCTTACTGACCTTAGAGGGTCATCAGCATGGCCCCTACAAATTCCAAATTTTCAAAAAGTCCAAATTTCAGCATACCAATTAGCTTTAAAGTAAAGCATTTAAAGTCCTATACTGCATATATAAGGTACAGAATGAGATGATTGAGACTGGTCACATTTTGTGCCATTAGGGTTGGATTATTAAAACATTTAATACAGTAGTAAGCATATTCACCAAGTATAATAAGGAAAGCATAAGGAGAGTGGAAATATTTTTAAGCTTTACAATGTGATTAGTAGTTAAGTTGCACTGAGGAGGGGCAGTAGGAAGCACTGGTAGCCTTTTGCTTTTGATTTTCTCAAGTGGGGCACCCAAAATTTCCATTGACCTCATGCTCACCTCTCCTCATTAGTGACTGTTGCAAAAGTATCTGTTGATGCATTAATAGATGTTTCTTATGCTAAAGGGAAGTACTACCTCCATATATAAATGTCATTTCAAATGTGAAAAGTGTTTTGTTTTGTTTGTGAGATGAGACAATATAGTAATGAAAAGGTGGGAAAAGGAATAGGAACAGAGTCACCTGTGGAGGAACAAAATGCCCTTTTTTTCAGGGGAGGAATCAACAAGGATAATCCTTAATTACAAAGTCCCTTTTGGACTTTTCCTTCAGTGAGTAGGATCAGTTTAGTTTTTCATGAATATATATAGATCATAAATTATCAAACATTTTATTTTTTCCATAAGTTAATTTACTATAAACAAATCTTCACTAGATTTGTAGTGTTTACTTAATATTTCATTAATCAGGCCAGCATTGTCAACCAGTTGAATTTTCTTATTTGAATAACCAAATTATGTCATATATAAACTGTACTTTAGGCTTGCCCTAGAGTAAATAGTCCACCCTATAACAGTGAGGAAATATAATAGAATTATTTTCATTAATAAGTTTATACTAATTATTTTCTGTTCTTGGGAACAATAACAATTCATTCAGTCCATTATGGTTACATTTGCAGTATATGCAGGCCATGTGTAGCATTGATGACTACATTTTAAACTGTAATATGTCCTAAGATATAATGTATTGCATCAATTTTACCTGACAATTCCCATCCGGTAAGAATTCGATCTAGACTGTGTTTTTCCCCTCCATGTGTACAAGTAAGAAGGAGATGATTCCATCCTCTTCCATTTTATTAGTAAAATTAATAGAGCAAATCAAACTTGCTCTATGTGTTTGTGTGTGT